GGAAAAGACCGATGCATTTGACTTTGTGAAAACAAGAATGTCTTTGCCTCAAAACAAATAATCGTGTTGCAAAAGAAAACATATGATGTGATCATGTTTGTAATAAACAAAAGCATGCGAGTCACATAATTTACACTTTAGAGCTGAGACCCAACAAAACTGTGCATAAAACAAAGTCATGAAGTATGTGAATTTAGGATGTATCAGCCTTGAGGGAGGACAATTTTGCTCTCTGTTGCATTGCATGTGGGTATTAATTTATCATTCTCTAACTCTAGGAAATATTATATACCATTGGTGCATGAAAAGTGGAGAAAATAATTCTATCTATCGATTTATTTACACAACGTGGTGAGAATTTACCAGCTATCTCAATGTCATGTAAACAGTGCCAGTCAATCAGAATTTCAGAAACGGAGCAGATAAGGAACAGAGAAAAATCCACAGAGAAAAAACCTCCAAAATTGTAGTTTGTGGTAGACTAGGTTGAAACCAGTTTTTCTCCTCCCCTTTTACTGAGCGATATATCCCATTTATGATCGGACATATGTCAAGGGTATTGTCTTTGATCTTCCTGAAGCTAGGAAGTCCACTCGGGTTCATGTCACGCAAAGCTATTCTAAACACACTTTGTCCTTTTAAAAGTGCTGCTGATTTTATAAGTATGTGTTTTCATTATTTCCATGTGTTAATGAAATAACCTAAAAGTCCACAATTCACCCAAGTAAGGCATATTGTCTGCTCTTGGTAAAACAAAGAGTCTTCACTATTCAAGCGAGTCCGTGTACTTCCAATACAAGATGATCTTAAATTGATATTTGAAAGATTGCCTTCTTTGTTATTACTTCCATGGGTCAAAAATTGTTTTTCTAAAGTAAATAATAAGTAAATTCATTTCTACTCCCTGTCCACCCAATCTCGTTCCAGTTCTCAGTATTTCAAAGAAAACAAAAACAACACATTTCCGTTCACCCTCGTTGGGTCCTAATCCAGAAGTTGTCTGTGACTCGCTTCTCGCCTGCAGAGCTCAGTCGGTCCCCACATCCTGTTGACTTTGCTGTTATCAAATCCTGCAAATGGAAGCCTTCCTGTCTTTATCTCAGCTGTCTGTCTTCTGGGCAGGACTGCACGGGGCTTGTGCCCACGTGCTCACCACAGCCTTCCTTCCATGGCCCCTCTTTGGACTGTAACACCACCTGCTTTTCTTAGGCTCATGCAAACACTCCCAAAAGCTTTCTTGCTCAGTCAGGGAAAACATGTTCTTGAGCTTTTGGTCCAAGATACATGTACCCCCATGCTGAGGGATCCCCGTGTGCACCATCTGGCTCTTTGCAGAAAAAAGTATCAACCTGTGGTGGAGACAAACAAGGGCTTGGTCCTCACAGAGGTCACCCAGCACCACTGAGGAGGTGGAGGAGGGGGGTATACAATTGTCCCCCGTTGTGGGGAACCCTCAGTGTGCACAGGACATTGTAATAGTACTGGCCGTACGGATACAACTGGGATTGAGTCAGACACAGGACATGGGCTGCTGGCACTGCTCTCCCCTGGTACTCGTCTGTAAGGAGTTCCTGGCAGGAGCACAATGCACCAGGCATTTTCTAAATTGCAAGAACTCTAATCAACAACCCTGACCTCTCATTTCCCTTTGAACACCACCAGTCGACTCTCATTTTCCCTTTTTCCGTTCCTGTATTGGTCTCTTTGTCTTACTTCTTTCCCCTTGTCTAGATGAGTTGCTTCGTTTTATCTCCCAGCCGTGGCATGCATGCTTGTTTCTGGCCTTTTAAAGGCCAGGCGTGCATTCTTGCTCTCCAGTTTGTATTTCATGGTGTGTGGTTTTTCTTGGTTCTCTGAGAATTGCATCTTTTATTTGAAGCAGCTTCTGTCCCAACCTTATTTTTTGGTGACTGCCTTTGAGCGGCTCTTTGCCCCCGTCTATTGGTTTCTGTATCTATCTTGTGTGTTGGACCCATTCCTCAAATGCCCGTGATACTTGGCTGTTTCTTTCTTAGCTGTGCGTGCCAGCCTGGCTGCCTGTGGACACCAGTGCTTGGTGACAGCGTGCGCACTCCGGCCATTTCTGGGGGGCTCCCATAGTTTGCTCTCTTTGAACGTTTCTCTGGGTCAGTCCCTTCCTCATGGAGGAATGTAGAGCAGAAGACTTTTCTGGATGCCTGGTAGAAGAAGGGGAGGGGGTATTTCCACATAAACAAGGCAGGCCTTCTTTCCCCCTCTTTCTTTTGTTAGTTGAAATTTATAATGTAAGATTAACCATTATAAAATGAATGATTCAAGGGCAGTTAGTATATTCACAATGTTGGACAACCACCATCTCTACTTAGCTCCAGAACATTTCATCCTTCCAAAATATCTGGATGTTTTGTATAGATGGAATCATGTACTTGTTGTGTTTTGTGTGTGATGTCTTTTAATTACATTCACGTGTTTGGGGTTCATCCACATTGTAGCATTTATAAGTGCTTCCCCCTTTTTATGGCTGAATAATATTCCACTGTATGGATGGACCACATTGTATTGATCTGTTCATCTGTCCTGACACACTTGGGTGCCTCCCTCCTTTCGCCTCTGGTGAACAAGGCTTCTGTGAGCATATATGTACTTGTGCTTGTCTGAGTCCACGTTTTCCATGCTTTGTGGTTCCCACATAGGAAGAATATCTTAACTTTGCCTTCAGCTCTTCTTGGCATCCGTGAATCACATCGCTGCCTGTTCATCGTTGATTCCAAAGAACGCATTCCCAGGGGCTTGTCAAAGTTGGAAAGATGTGTTCATACATAGGTTTTAGGAGACAGAGACACAGAGAAGCAAGCAGACAGGGAGAGAGAGACCGAGGTGGGGGAAGAAGAGATACATGACTGTGTTAAATCGGCCCTATGGAAGCGCAAGTCCCCATTTTTTGTTTACAAACCTGCCTTTCCCATTAATTTCCCGTTAGACTAAGATTGGGATGATGGCACCCGTAAGGTGTCACGGACCTTCTAACCCCTGATTTGCAGCACAGTCCCTCCCATCTTCAGCCCTCAGAAGGAATTCGTGGGTGAATGGAAACCATCCATCATTCTGAGAGTCCTTTAGGATCTAGTGGTCACGTGTGTCTCTCCTCATCTGGTGTAGAAAGTCAGAGAAATTAAGCCAACGTTGCCTAAACATGTGTGAGCAGAGGAGGTAAAGGACGGGACATGAGGCTGTCTTACAAGCGTTCACAAGTACGAGAACACCCAAGGTTCTGGATGGCCCGGGGATGGGTCGGGAAAAGGGTCCCCTTGTGCGTTTCAGGGAATGAAGGGTGAAAGAGAGGAAACCGTGGAGCTGTGGACAAGAACAGACAAAGGCACATGCAAAGGGCTGAGAAACAGAGAATGCTGTGGGCTTTGGCACAGAGGCCCTGGGGCTCCCAAGTGGCAGGTGAACGCCTTTGCCCTTGCAGCGCAGGTGCTAAAGATTTCCTCCCAGCCCAGTGACTCTCACTGTGAGATGAAGGCTGGCGGTCTTAGGGATGCGGCATGCCTCCGAGTGTCCCTCCCGTGCACCGTTGCTTGGAAGGCACAGGAAGGTGCAGTCCGAGGAAATAGAGAGAACAAGGAAGCAAGACGAACCCTCGGCATTCAGGAACTGGGGCGCCTTATGAGGGAGAGAGGGCTGGGGTTCTCGGGGAGCTCCCAGGATGCTGACCAAACAGCGTCCCCGTGCTCAGTGGGCAGGGGTCTGTCCCTAGCATGTTACACTCTGTTATTGCATTTAACCCATGTGGCTGTCACTATTCCCATTTTTCAGCTAGGGATACTGAGTCACAGAGAGGCTGTCATCTGTGGAATGGGGCAGGCAGGACGCAAGCCCGGGCGGCGTGAGGATGGGAGGTCATAGGACGGTAGCTGTGGGGGCATCTTAGGAAGCGGGACACCGAGATTGGAGCGGGAGGCCCCAGGAGGCTGTGTTCCCCAAACTGAAGGATTCCCTGACGTGGTTGAAGGTGTTGGGACTGGATTGGCCCTGTTATAGGAAATCTGTAATAAAAATTTAAAAAAGCGAGGAACCTCAAAAGCAGCAGTTAGGTACAGCAGGAAAAGTACATTATGGAAAGAGGTGGGGCTGCGTGCATCTTGGTGTTTACAGATGCCAAGGAAGGAAAGGGCTGTGGACACACACACGCAGATGAAACGGCGATTGGGTACGAGACCTAACCCGTCACCTACCAAACAGGAAGTTAAAAATACTGCCGCATCCCACAAACAGAAGATACAGTATTATGGGGCTCCCAATACGCTTGGAATGGATCCTATGCGGGACCATTTTCATGCTCTATAAAGATAAAATGCAATTCACTTATTTTCTCTTTGTCCTGTTGCCGAGCATGACTCCCTGGTGCTGGCATGCTGACGTGTGACAAGCACAATTTCCACGCTGATTCGTGGTGTGCATGGTCTTTGTGCTGAGTAATTTTACTGTGCCCCTTCGTGTCTCTCAAAGACAAATGTGCTTCGATGATAAAGAGGAGCCATGTGACGTTAGTTCCTGCCTTTGAGCTAAGTCCACAAGCACAACTGGGGGACAACCTCAGGAGCAGGGTGGTGATTCTCTGCTGCACGTATTGAGCATGGCACAGTGGGGGGATGACGTACCCAGGCTTAGGGATGGACCTCCCTGGCGGTGGCTTCTGGGTCGACGTTCTAACAGCTGTTTTCTTGTTCAAAGAATTATGGTCCAGTGAGTGTTCAGCCCTCACTGAATCTCCACACTGGATGGATAGGTTGCCATGCAGCAAGGTGCAGCCTTGCCCTGAGGGTGCCCAGGGCAGGGGGTGCTTTCCAGAGCTCCTCGTGGGCACAGTCCCGGCATCTGCCTGCTGAGCACACAGACCCGCCAGGAGAAGGCAGCCACGCTTTCCTGGGAGCCACCGAGCTCCTGGAGTGTTTGCGTCCAGCCCATGGGGATTCTGCCTCATGATTTCCTCTGTTTTTTTTTTTTTTCTTCTAAAGATATGACCTGCTCCCGTTTTGGAGATGAACAAGGCCTGCTTCAGTTTTGCAGCTCAGCCAGTCTGGGCTTGTGCCCTTAGGAGACAGATGGCGTGGGACCTTCTGAGCACAGAGCTTCAATGCTGCGCGGCGGGAAGGGTCTCCCAGGAAGGCTGCAACAAGCCCTTGCTGTGTCTGCCCTGGGCTCCCAGGGGCTGGTCGCTATGGTACAGGTGAGATTGCTTCATGTTCAGGGCCTCTCCTCGCTAATTTTCTGCAGTTGGGTCTGTTTTCTGTTTGTTCCCCTGAAGCAAGTGTCAATGAAATGAGATTAAACAACCACGTTTGGTTTTGTAATAGCTCTGCCAGATGCCAAAATCAAAAAAAAAGGAGGGGAAATAAATGAACAACAGGGGATTTTAGATTCCTAGAAATGCTATGTGTACAATTTTTCATTATCTTCTACACACATACACACAATGATAACTTTGCACCTGTCCATCCATTGTCCATCCATCCATCCACCCACCCATCCACCCATCCATCCACCCAACCATCCATCCATCCACCCACCCACCCACTCACTCACCCACCCATCCATCCACCCATCCACCCATCCATCCATCCATCCATCCATCCACCCATCCACCCATCCATCCATCCATCCATCCATCCATCCATCCATCCATCCATCCACCCACACATCTTTAGTCCCCTTTGGCTTCCTTCTCCACTGATTCTGAAAACACACAGTCATTCCCCAGATCCATTCCCAAAGCCAAAGATCAGCCTGTCATGCATCCAGATAAGCAGATTCTCTCTTCTTCAAAGGTAGATGTGGTTATAAACAGCAGCATTATTTCTTTTGTTTTGTTTTCTATTTTATTTTTTTGTGTGAGGGGAATGCTAATGTTTTCATCAGACTGTGAAGGTTAGGAAAACTGGCCTTTGTATCCCACCAACCTGAGGTTAGATTGTGCCATGCTGGCGTAAGAAACTCGTGATTGTGGTGAAAACAGCACAAGAAATTTTACGTAAAGAGCTTATCACAACATTAGGCTTTCTGCAAGTAACTGGAGATAAGGACTGCTTAACAGTAACAGAAATAATAATAGTTTTCTTCTGTTTGATATTCTGAATAAGAACATATTCCGTGTTTGGCGTATTGCATAACAATCGTAATAGTACATTTTGTGTTTTGCTTAGTAATCAATAGCAATTTAATCATTCAAATTTATAAACGTATTTTAATAGTAGGTACATAAAGTTGATTAATAATATTTAGTAGTTCTGCATGCAACCTCACATAAGCCAATCCTGCTTTGCTCAGTGTTGCAAATTTTGGCATCATTTGTACAAGGTGTGGGAAAAACACAGTTTAAAAAGTATCTCTATGTTTGCAGATGATCATGAAGGCTCATGAAAACTTTAAGTTATACCTCATGTGACCATCCAAGCGCTGGCCGAGCGACCTGTGATCCAGATTGATGGTGAGCTGATTGGCAACTTGCTCTTTTGCAGAAATTCCAACACCTAACGTAAGTAATTTACTTTGGGTGATACAACTCTCCATGTTACCAGCAATTAAGTCTGTTTTCCCAGTGTCTGAGTTCCCTTCCTGTGACGAAAACCCACATTTATCATTCTTAGATAGAAAAGAGTGATTGTGTGAATTGGTCTTTTTATAAAAATATAGGAAAATATAGCATTCCGATATGTTTGTTTCTCTTGATTGAAATACCACTGACATATGCCATTATATTAGTGTCTGGGGTACGACCCGGTGATTGGATATTTGTAGATACTGAGAGATGGTCACCACAGGAAGTCTAGTTAGCATCCATCACCGCACAGAGCTATGCATTTTTTTTTCCTTCTGATAGCCCAATACGCTGATTTTAACATCTAAGGAGTCGTGTAGGGCCCACTCTGAACTTAAAGATAGACAGCAGGAGGCTTATTCAAGTCATTTTTATTTTTTAACTTCTATTTTTGTTAAGTAAATTTCATTTTTTGGAAGAGATTCAAGTTTACAGAAACACTGAGCAGAAAGTATGGAGTTTCTGTATAGTGGGTTTCCTCGTACCATGCCTAGTTTTCAGGTCTCCCATGGGCGTAGCCCATTTATATAATCGGCGAGCCAATATTGCTGCATTATTATTAACTAAAGTCTGTCGTTGATGTGACAGTTCAGTTTTTGTGTGTTGCATATCCTATGGGTTCTGAGAAATGGGTGATAACCTCAATTCACCATCCCAGCATCCTATCCAATAGTGCTCATGCCCTAAAAATCCCCTATACTTCTTTTTTTAATCCCTCCCTCCCTTCTCAAGATCCCTGGCAACCACCGATCTTTTTCTCTCTATAGAGTTTTGCCTTTTGCTTGTTTTAAAATTTTTAACCTATACAAAAGCTCCCGTGACACTGAGTAGTGTTATTGAAAAGTTGAATGGAATTATTTGCTTCCCTGGTGGTAAATCGGTGGCCTGTCCATGGGGAGGGAGAATGTAAAATACAGTGTCTGCCGCAGTCCGTTTTCATTCATTGCTCCGATGTCTTGGGACGGGACGCTGCCTTCTTCCCAAGACAGACTGTGGGCTCTTTCCCGTTGTCGGCCTTTTTGCCCACAAGGCAGATGGGAAACCGGGCTGTTCACCAGCCCCGCCGGTGTGGGGTCTGTTACTGGGCCTGGCGCTCACGCGGGGCATGTTGAAATGACGAGTGACTCAGGAAGGCAATCGGGACAAATAAGCTGAAACCAAATGTTGACGGTTTGCTTACGTGAATCCTTGCTTCTTAGGTATGAATAGCTCAGGACAAGACCAGGATTTCTGCTGCCATTTCTATCTTTTAAATCAGTATTCATATAATATGCAATTAACTGTTTTAAAGTATGCCATTGAGCGGTGTTCAGTATGCTCCCTACATGGTGTAACCATCGCCTCTGTGTAGTTGGGGAACATTTCCATGTCCTCATAAGGAAACCCTGCACCTAGAAGTCAGCCACCCCCTGTCCCGGCTGTTCCAGTCCCTGCGGACCACCCGTCTGCTTTCTGTCTCTGTGGATGTACCTCCAGAAGGCAATTTCTGTAACCAGGAACCGGGTATGAGTTACGAGATGATTCCCATTTCCCTATCTAGCACTTAGTGTATAGATGACAAAAATTGGTAGCATTTCCCTGGTAGGTATTTGTATTCACAAATAGCTTGTGGAAATGCAGGTTCAAAAATAAGGTAAGCATCCATATTCACGTTACCATAGAGTATTTGTAGAAAAACGCAGGGATGCGAGTTGGGATGACAGGGAAGTATGTTTGACTGATGTACATCGTGCAGTGGTTCTGCCTGAATCAGATGCATGAGTTATTCCAAAAGGGGGGCTTGGCTGACAGCTGCTGAGAGGCTCCACCGTCGTCAGACCACCGACATGGAAAACTCCACCTTCCCTTAATATGTTAACCCGCCACAGGATCGTGTGCCCAGACTCTAACCTTCGGAAACAGCTAGAAGGTTCAGGGTCGACGACCTGATCACACGCATCCCTTGAATGAACAGCAAGCTGTGACCTTGCAACCGTCTAGATGTGACAAGCCAGGCCACCCACAGACTTCCTGTTGGGGATTTGAATAAGGATGGAAGCAGGTCGGCACTTAGCGGAGGTGTGAAAAGATGACAGGTGCCCTCTGGTAGGGTGACGCAGTGACAAGTCACAGAGGGGGTCGTCAAGATAGGAGGCGGCAGAAACATCCGGCCAACCTGCATCCAGAGGGTACCATTCGCACAGGCTGGCCCTGGAGCCCCTGATGGACACGTCTTTGGAACCCTGCAAGGTGTCCATCCTGAAGGTGCTGAAGGAAGAGAAAGCTGGAGCTCACCTGCAACAGGAGGGGATGACATGGCCTCTGAGAGAGAATGGGGGGAGCAGCTGTCTCCTGGAGCAACCTTGATCCCTCGCATGACCCAGCTGGGGATTCCACCAAACCCAGCTATGCTCTGTTCCTGAGTTCCTGGGAGATCTCAAACCTCTTGTCCAACACGACATGTATCTTCCAACTTTCTCTTCCTCAGAGCTTGTGGCTCCTGGTTCCCCAAAGGACAGAGGTGCCTGAAGGACAGGACCCTCCAGGAGAGGTCGAGCTTGCTGGGCATTCACTGTCGTCGGTACCATGTGAAGGGCTTGCAAAGCCTCCATCTCATTGTGTCCCCGTGTGTGTACGGATGCAGAAACCTAACTGCTTAGAAATCACCCCGTCAGGATGGAGACGATTTCTAACCAATTCTTTCTGACTTCACAAGCTTCCTCTGAAACTTATTGTCCCATCTGTGAGCTTCCTGACCTCCAATGTAGGTAAACGTTTTTTTGATGGAGAATAGGAGTTTTTAAATTTATTTATAGTCTTGTCCTTCCTACGGAGGGAGGCATCCGTATTCATTAGAAACATCGATTTTCCTTTATTTTTTATTGTATGACAATTAGAAGACATGTGTGGTTTTAAAATAAGACTGTGTGAAAAAAAAATAGGTGCAATCCCTGTTAGGGTCTTTATGTCCATGCCCTGTTTTCATATTTAGGACTTGTAGAGGGTTGAAAGATATGTCCACATCCCAGACCTATGGACGAGACCTTGTTTGGAAATGGGCTCTTTGCAGGTATGATTAAGTGAAGGACCTGAAATCATGTCATTGATGGATGAAGTGCTGTGACTTGACTATATGCACCTGGTGGGCATGTATGTCCATGTCTGTATTGTGACGTGTGCTTATCGCATGCATGCACATGTGTGCTGCATGTATTCATGTGGCATGTGTGCACGCGTGCATATGTGCTGTGCTCATGTGCCCATGAGCAGTGCTGTTTGCTATGGTGTGTGCATGTGCACAAGTGTATGTGTGTGTAGGGTGTGGTGTGTATGGGTGCACCTGCATGCACCCCTGTGTGTGGTGAGAGGGTGAAGCTATATGCACAGAGGAATTAGAATTGGTCACTGCAGGTATTTCAGCCCCGTGTAGGAGCTGATGCATGGTGTTCAGGAAAAAGCACCCTGTCTTGAGGACGTCCTCTTCCGTGTCGTCTCCCTGACTGACACCTGGGCTCTGAAGGG